AATGGTGGCACTTGCTTTGCCAAGTTGGATCTCGCTGATGCGTATCTGCAGATCGAGGTCGCCCCAGAGTCGCGCGAATTGTTGACCATCAATACCCACCGCGGTCTGTTCCAATACACCAGGCTGCCCTTTGGTGTCAAGACCGCCCCGGCCCTATTTCAACAAACGATGAACGCAATGCTCTCCGGCATCCCTGGCACAGCTGGGTACCTGGACGACATCATCATCGTGGGTCGCTCCCCTGCCGAGCTGCAAGACCGAGTGTGTGCAGTACTCGAACGCGTGCCGGAGTATGGCTTTCGCCTACGGGCCGAGAAGTGCCAATTCTTCCTCGACTCCATCAAGTACCTTGGATTCGTTTTTGACGCCAATGGTCGCCATCCAGATCCTGAAAACATTCGGGCCATCCAACGGATGCCTGCCCCCAAGAATGTATCGTAACCTCGTTCGTTCCTTGGCCTGATCAGCTACTATAGCGCCTTCCTACCATCGCTGCATGACGTACGGGCCCCGCTCAACCGTCTGTTGCAGAAGGATGCTCCTTGGTGCTGGTCCCCCGACTGTGAAAAGGCCTTCGCCCAGCTAAAGTCGATGCTGAGTTCAGATCTGTTGCTCACGCACTACGACCCGACGCTGCCGATCGTTGTTGCTGCAGATGCTTCCAACCACGGAGTTGGTGCCGTCATCTCACATACTTTTCCTGATGGGTCTGAAAAGGCGATCATGCGTGCATCTCGCACGCTAACCCCTGCGGAGAAGAACTATGGGCAAATAGAGAAAGAAGCTCTAGCCCTCGTGTTTGCCGTCAATAAATTTCACAAACTGTTGTACGGTCGCCACTTCACGTTGTTGACGGATCACAAACCATTGCTGTCTATCTTCGCTTCGAAGAAGGGCATCCCCGTCTACTCAGCCAGCCGACTTCAGCGATGGGCAACCATCCTTCTTGGCTACGACTTCAACATTCGCTACTGTCGTACTACAGACTTTGGTCAGACTGACGCCCTTTCTCGCCTCATCAGCAATCAGCAGGAACCGGAGGAAGATACCGTGATTGCAGCTATTCCGATTGAGGACGGTGTGCGCCGTCAGTTATCAGACGCCATACGAGGTATCCCTGTCACTGCCGCGGACATCCGGCATGCTACTGAATAGGATCCTGTCCTCCGCCAGGCCATCACCTACGCGCAGACCTGCTGGCCAACCACTGCTCTCGCTGGCGATCTTCGCCAGCTCTTCCTCCGTCGAGCATCGCTATCTGTGGTTGACTCCTGCCTCATGTTTGCAGACCGTATGGTGATCCCATCTTCCCTCCGGCCCACTGTACTACGCCAATTCCATGCCGCTCATCCTGGTACCAGCCGAATGAAGTCTATTGCTCGCAGTTTTGCCTACTGGCCGGGTATCGACGGCGACATCGACAACCTGGTTCGACGCTGTTCTCGATGTCAGCAAGCTGCCGAGATGCCGCCTCGTCAACCTCCAAGACCCTGGCAACCACCGGAGAGGCCTTGGTCACGCGTGCATATCGGCTTCGCTGGCCCACTTAACGGAGTCTCCTACCTAATCTTGGTTGACGCCTACTCGAAATGGCCCAAGATTGCTCCGCTGAATCCAGCAACCGCATCTGCCACTATCGCCTTCCTACGACGCATCTTTAGCCAGCATGGCTTACCAGAAGTCCTGGCTTCAGATAATGGTTCTCAGTTTATCTCGTCGACGTTTGAAGATTTCTGCCGCCAGCACAACATCCAGCATCTTCGCTCCCCGCCCTACCATCCTCAGTCTAACGGTCAGGCGGAGCGTTTTGTCGACACGTTTAAGAGAGCCCTCTTGAAAGCTCGTGGGGAGGAGATCACGGACGAGATAGTCCAGGCGTTCCTGTTTTCATACAGGACGACACCGAACCCGGCGTCCCCTGGTGGTGTTTCTCCTGCCGAAGCGTTGATGGGCCGAAAACTGCGTACAACGTTTCATACCCTCGTCCCTACCGGTGCGCAGCCCGCGCAGACTTCTCCAGTTTCTCGCAGCAAGCTCTCCATCGGAACACCTGTCTTCGTTCGTGATTATCGAGCGGGGTTACCAGACTGGATTGAAGCAACCGTAGTATCGCACAGAGGCAGTATGTTGTTTGACGTCGACGTTGGTGATGACATCTGGGTTCGCCACCACAACCAGATCCGACGGCGACATTGCAGTAACACAACTGGGCTCGATTTGGCGCCGTCACTCTCTCTCTCTCGACATCCTACTGGATACCTTCGCCATTCCGACAGATCAGTCGGTTCCCGAACCCACTTCTGCGCCCCTTTCGGATATACCATCTTCGGTATCAGTTACCGCTCCCGTATCTCCAGGCATTAAACCACGATTAAGACGCCGGACCAACCGCGTGCGCCGATCAACACGTCTGATGCAGGTCAACCCACGCCAGAAGCGGTACTGACCTACTTGGAGGGGAGCTGTTGGGAGCGCCTACACTCCCAAAAACGAGAGCCAGCCAATCACGGGAGGCCACGTGCGTTTTCTCCACTGCGCTGTCATCTTACTCGTGGCGCCTCTCCATTGGCTTTTCCTCTCGGGCCTGATCGATCAGCATATTCGAATTATCGACCGGCTCG